AAGGGTGTCGCGAGGGGCCTCTATGAGGGCTCGACAGAAGGGCGCGCCTCGGGCAGGAGCGACTCGCGCTCCGGTCAGAAAAAAAAAAAGGTTGATTTCAGTGGTGGGCCCTGAGAAGCGTTCCCACTAGGGAACTTGCTCTATACCATGTGAAGATATGAGGAATGAATTGACTAGGCAAAATGTGGGTACAAGTAGGAACCTAGAACTGTTGTACCCTATAGTATCTACCCCACTACAACCTAGATAGACTATAGCATATAAACATGATAGGTGAGGGTATATTTCTTGCTGTTGAGACCTGTCTGTATGAGAACGAGGAAATCTCTGTAGACCTTCTGAAGATTTTCGTTACGGTTTGTGCTGGGCTCGAGGAGCTTGAAAGGCTGATGGTTCAGTGCAGCTTTAGGGCAGATGTTGCAGCCGGTTTGGCGGGCTGTGTTGACAGAGACAAGTGTGTCATCAGGGCGGAGCAGTGATCCAGGGACAAGGATTTCCACGTGGATGCAGTTGTTGAGGAATTCTTGCAAGGGGTGTGTCTGATGCCTTTGTGCCAGAGGTCAGGGGGTGCGTGGATGACTGGTGAGCGAGCGTAGAAGGCAAGGAGTACAGCGGTATCAGCGGGTGGTGGCTGTGGGATAGGCTGTGGCGAGATGAAGAGGCTAAGGGCCAAGATGAGATTACGAGCAGTGAATGGTGTGGCTGGTTCCAATGTGGTGAGGGCAGCAAGGTGTGTTGGGGGGTCGTCGGTGTCTGCTGTTCCTTCAAGAAGATTTGGGCGTGGTAAGTGGTGAGGTGGTAATGCATGTCAGGTAGAAGGGCCAGCTGCGGGGGAGTCATGTGGGCCAGTGGGTGTGGACTCAGTGGGGAGTGGGCTGCGAGGATAGGTGCTGTAGGGTAGAATGGTGTTGCGGTCATTAGGAGGTCGCGAGTCGGTGGAGGAGGCCCAAGGATCACTGGAGGGTGAGTCTCCCGTAGGAGGGATGCCGATGGGACGTGGGGACCCATAGGGTCCTCTGGCTTCATCTGCTGCTTCTCTTTCAGCGCGAGCTATGACGTCTTCAATCGGCTCCTCTTGCTCTATTGTTGCTGTGGCTTCCCAGTTTTGTGCAGTTTCTCCCCATCTTGTTGCACCGATTCCCCTTCCCAAACCCCCAGCTGCTGCTACTGCTGAAGCCTTTGTTTCTTCTTCTGCGCGACGACGATTTTCTTCTTCTTCGTGGCGCTATAACTCTTAAGTGGTCATAGTGCGATGAGACCAGGGGTGAGCGACACGATAGGTCTCTTAGGCAAGTGAAAGTGGGTTTTGATTGGCGTCGAAGGCCCCAGGTCCCGTGTAACGAGCGAGGAGGTGGAGGCGGTCGTGGACAGCTGGATCGTCACGCGTTTTTTTAGGCTGAAAGATGGTGAGTGCTACAGCAAGCTTAGTGTGGTGATGCATGCCGGTGGGATGTGGTGTCTACCATTTTGCTTCTTCAACGATGTCCATGCCAACGGGCCGTATGACTGGTCCGTCCTCCTCGGATGAGTCTGAGTCTACAAGGGGCTCGTTTGCATTGTCATTGCTAACCTTGGCCTTCCCCTTTTCTGCTGCTGTGGCCAGACGCCTTTCTACTGCAGCTGATGATTCTCCTTCATCAGCTGGTGCTTTCCCCTTGTTGTCTGTTGGGACTGGGTGCTCGCAACGTGTTTGTGCTGTTTCTCTCCTGTCTTCAGTCGTTGAGGCTGTTGGTGTGCGGCAGTTTGGACAGAAGCCGTCGGGTCCAGGCACGTGAAGATCGATTTCTTTCGGGTGAGCGTGATGCTTGACCAAGGGACGCCTGTCAGGGTGTGTGAACAGTCAACGCTGCAGCAAAGCGGTCTGTCAACGTTGCATTGCACGCGGTCGGCCAGTACTGCAGTCGCAGGTGACTATCTGCAATCGCAGGTGTGTATCTGCAGTGGCAGATGACTATCTGCGCACATGTGTGCACCTACCAAGTAGGTGCTGGTCGACGGTTTCACTGTCAGGCACATTGCGCAGGTGCCACGTAGAAAACGTATTGTCGGGTTTGCCAGGGGCCAATCGTTGAGCACGTGCTACTGTTCCGCAGGTCGAACTTTGCCAAAACCTCCGAGGGAAATTACGCACACCTTCGCTGAGTTTCGCACACTTCTGCGAATTCGGTCGACCAGCTGGATGCCTCTCGGACGAACAGCGTTCGCTGAGCAGAGCTCCTCGGCCAAAGATCTTCGACCAAAGTTCTTCGACGGGCCTCGTCGACCAGCACTTCTCGACGGGCTCGTCCACCACTGTCGTCGACCAGCGCTCCTTGACGGACCTCGTTGACCACCGCTCCTCGACGGGCTTCGTCGACTGCTGTCTTCGACCAGCGCTGCCCGTCGACGATGTCGACCATATTTGTCTTTAGTTCGCACCCCTCACTTCACCCCTTGTCAGATTGTCCACCTCGCTAACCAATCACAGCCAAGCTCCCCTCACCAATTGCGAAACAATCGAACTACTTGAGATCCTAGCTTTAATAGCGTGGTTTTTGAGTGACACCTTAGCATAGTCCATGTTTCGGTTACTCTGACGTGGGTTCGATCCCTGCAAAAAGCACGTTTGGTCCTCCTCGGATGCAGTACCACTTATTTTTTTACAAGGATGGACTTTCCCTATCAGTGCAGCAACACCACCCCACTCTGAAATATCAGGGTCCTAAATAAATTTGCTTTTTACCTGTAAGTGTCCGAAATGAAAGCACCTTGTAATATAGGGGTCCACATCACAACCAGCCTTAGTAAGGGTCACAAGGGTACTTCACACTGATATCCAGGGGCCTCACCTCGGTTCCCAACATCCGCGGTTGATTCACCGCGGTTCCCAACATCCCCAGTTGATTCACCGCGGTTCTCAACCTCCCCATAAGAGGATCACGACTTCTTTCCTCCATGTTGTTTCCATATAATATTTTGATGATCTGGCCATATTTTTCAAGGGTTTGAGCTTTCAATCTCGGGCTGTGGTGATGAGAAGCTAACGACAGCTTAAGATGATTCAGGATGAGATATAAACCTGCAACCAATTGCCCTCTTGATTTTACAATTTCCTTTTCGACCCTTTTGGCCCGGGTTTGAACCCACCAGACCCAACCGGGCCCTTTTCAGTTCACATCGAGCCTAAGCCTGTTAGTGACGGGCTGGTTACAGTTTGAGCTAGTACGACTTTGACATGATCATGTTGCTTTTCCATCCATGCCCTCGGCATGATCAAGGGAAGGGAAGAGAATGTATCAATGAAATGCGAAGCTCTGAACTTTTATATATACTAAATTATTTAGTTCTTTCTCATAGTCTCAAAAAAGGATCCGTGTGAGTCGTTTCACGTAGGCCCCATCGACCCCTGCAAACTTCTGCACACACCATGCCTTGCGAAATGAGCGGCCCGATGGACATGGTTAGACGGAAGAACCTGAGTCCCCCAACAGGAAAAACCTGGCTTTTGCCAAACCCAAGACCCTCATTGTCTCCTCCTTCCGCCAATCTCTCCCCCCCCCCCCCCCTTCTCCCCCTTCCCCCATTCTCGCCATCTCCTCTCCCCTCTCCTCCTTTGTCTCCTTCCCCCCCTCTTCCCCTGGTGCTTACTTTGTGCATGTTCAGAAACTTACGCAAAAGCAGCTTAACCGGGTCTATTCCATCAAGTATTGGCAGCTTGAGGAAGCTTGTAGTCGTGTCAGTCTCCCACCGTACCACACTTGGTTCCTCCCTGGTACTTGACAGTCATGTACATAGCTGTTTACAAGTATGAACGGTAGGTTAATCAATTATTATCATTCATGGTATGCAAACAAGGTGACCATCTACCATTTGATGCTGTTGCTTTCCTTTGTTGTTGCTCCCTCTCTTATATTCTCTTATACACTCTTTGATAATATGTTATGCGTTCTTATCAGCGACTTAACTACAAACCACTTGAGCAGGACCATTCCACCAACCATAGGCAATGTCAGTAGAGCTATACTGTGAGATCCTCGATCAATCCTAGGGGGGGTTACAGACGCGTTTGCCTAGGGGGTTATGGGCGCACTGACCCGCTACTGAAACAAGCTCTTTTATCCCAATGGTCTAGTGGTTGGGATTTTGACATGGTATCAGAGCAGTCTTGGGTTCGAATCCCGGTGTATGCACATGTTGGCCGTTGCCACTGTGCTCAGTCCTCGGCCTCCCACTGTGGGGGGGTGTTAGTAGAGCTACACTGTGAGATCCCCGATCGATCCTAGGGGGGGTTACAGGCGCGTTCGCCTGGGGGGTTATGGGCGCACTGGCCCGCTACTGAAACAAGCCCTTTTATCCCAATGGTCTAGTGGTTGGGATTCTGACAGCAACTTGATCACTCTAACACGATTGCCAGTCTCAACTCCCTCACTAGTGTTTGCCATTGTCTGGTGATGACGATGATGTCTTAATAAAACTCTCTCCATGGCTCTGTACCTAAGAACCATTGACCTCCACCGGAGAAAGGAACGCAATGAAGCACAATCATGAAACTACAGAACTAGGCTGGTTAGGTACAAGTGCTAAAAGTTATTACCTCATGATTCTGCTCATTGTCTTCTAATATTTGTTTTTCTTCAAGGTCACTCACCACTACCATATCTCTCTTCTTCCCTTATTCCATTTCCTACCCATGAAATATACCTCCCATCCTTCAAGAATATGATGCAAAATGCCCTCATATGTCCACCTAATAATAAAAGTTGTGGAGTCAATCAAACCAACGAGAGTGCCTTCTGTAGCGAATGCAAATCCTTCTCCAATACTTGCTCCAGCGCAGCCCCACGTGAGGAAAACCCATTGACCTCTCCCTTGGAGTAGTTTTTAACTAGCGACTGCATGAATGTAGCAACTTCATTACTACCCCTCTTTTTCAAAACAAGCAACCGCGCAACTTCATTAAGTCTCGTAATTTCTTCAATATCCCTTACCACCTTCCCTTCCTGACGTCTACCCCTACGCCAATGGCATCTCCCCACACGCCTGGAGGCGGTCTGTCAGCAGGAGCCATTGCTGGCATTGTGGCTGCTGTTGTGTGCGACCTACTGCTGGATAGCGTGCTGCTGTATAGGAGAAGTTGTGGGAAGGAAGCAGGAGGAGAAGCAGGCATGTTCGTAGTAGCAACGGCGTCAGCAGGGAAGAAGGGAGGTGTGGCAGTAAAGGTAGGAGCAGCACAGCCACAGGTGTACCAGGGGGACTCTTTGGAAGAGTTGGCATAGGCAACGGCAGAGTGGACAGAGGAGAACAGACTTGGTAGTGGCAGCTTCGGTGTTGTATGCAAGGGCGTGTCGCCACGTGGCAGCACACAGGTGTGGGCCATTCAACAGGCCAGAGTGCTCACCAACGACTTCCATAGCGAGGTGTTGCACTGCTCGGTTGTTCCACCCGTGCCTGCACTGCTCGGTTGTTCCACCCGTGGCCGCACTGCTCGGTTGTTCCACCCGTGCCCGCACTGCTCGGTTGTTCCACCCGTGCTTGCACTGCTCGGTTGTTCCACCCGTGCCCGCACTGCTCGGTTGTTCCGCCCGTGCCCGCACTACTCATTTGTTCCACCGTGTCCGCACTGCTCGGCTGTTCCACCCGTGCCCGCACTGGTCAGGTGTTCCACCCGTGCCCGCACTGCTCGTTTGTTCCACCCGTGCCCGCACTGCTTGGTTGTTCCACCGTGTCCACACTGCTTGGCTGTTCCATCCGTGCCCGCACCGGTCAGGTGTTCCACCCGTGCCCGCACTAGTCAGGTGTTCCACCCGTGCCCGCACGTACACTTTTGCACTTACAACTCGTGCTGATGTTTTTCAAGTTTCATTCTGATTAATTTCAATCATTGTTCTCCATTCATTTCTAGGTGGAAGAAATGGCCAGCAAATACCACCCTCACCTGGTACGGCTATTGGGTTACTGCATTGACATGAACACAACCACAAGGTGCATGGAGAAGATCATGGTGTATGAGTACATAGACAACAATGACCTTGAAAGCTGGATCGAACCTGTTGTCTCTTGCCCTCTTTCCCTGCATCAACGTCTAGACGTTCTTAGGGGGGAGCTGAAACTTGTGATTGAGAGAAGAGAAGATGATTCAAGGGAGTGGAGATGCAGCTGAGAAGAGGAATGAGCTGCCACCATCCAAGATTGAGGCGTTGGATGGCTCCAACTATGAGGAATGGAGCGGGCCGATGCGGAGCGCCTTCAAGCGCTACAAGCTGCTGAAAATTGCGATGGAACAAGAGAAGATGCCGGAGGAAGGAGATGCCCGCGATCGATGGATTAAGAAGAGCACGATGATGTACGACCTCATTCTCCAATCGGTCAACAATGACATGTTCCAGCACATCAAGGATTTGCTGGAGTTGGATGATTCCGGACCGAGGGCATGGAAGCTCCTACGCGACATAATTCAACCCAACACGCTGCCGATGGTGATTGTTTTGGAGGAGTTGGCTGCCCTCTCCATGCGACCGGGAGATGATGTGAAGCTGGACCTTGACAAGATCAATGACACCTATGCGAGGATGGCAGCGGCGGGCAGCAAGTTGTCAGAGATGCGACAACCTCATCCCCACCCTCAATACTCAGCAGTACCAGTGGACGCCTACGTGGCTACGACAGCAGATTCTGCAGGAGGACTTCCGCAGGCACCACATGGGTGGTGGTGCTGCCAACAAGACTGCCGAGGGGTATGGAGCTGTAGGAGGCAGCAGAGGGAGAGGGGGAGGGAGAGGCCGAGGCTGTAGGAGAGGCTTTGGCAGAGGCAGAGGTCGAGGTAACTACAATGAGGGGTATGGGAGCTCCAGTGGCAGGGATGGCACCCGAACGGAGGGAGCTTGCTGGTACTGCATCCATGGTTCAAGTGTTTCAGCCGGCCTGAGGGATGGGCGCCTCCAAGCATGAAGCCGCCAAGTGGTTAACGTGCACGAGGTGGTGCTGTGCAAGGTTCAGGTGCACAAGGTGATGGTGCACAAGGTAAAGCCGACCCTGGGATGTTCCTCATGGTTAAGGATGTGAAAGGGAATGGGGGTGATGTGGGTTCAGTTGAAAAAGTTGTGATGCACCCCTCACTAGGTGATCGATTCAGGTTGCAGAAGTCACATGACACCGAGGGCAGATTTCCTTGATGAGGTAAAGCCCCCTGGGAAGATAAAGTTTGTGGCTGCCTCTTCAGGTGCTTTGCTACATGTGATTGGTGTTGGGAATGCCAAGGTAATAGGAGCCAATGGGGGGCTTGTGGGGCTGGGGAATGTGCTGTTGGTTGAAGGTTTGTCCGCTAACCTTCTTTTAGTGCGCCGGCTGCAGAAGAGCAAGGCCAAAGTGACCTTCAGCCCAACCAGCTGCCGTGCAAAGCTTGGGAAGCTGTTGTTGTGGGATCTGGAGGAGAAGAACAGCTGCATCAAGGATCTGTGGCAGCTGCCCATCATCCCTTGGAATGGGAAACTACTAGCAACGGCTAAAGCAACTACGGGAGGAGAGGAGATTGCACCAACTGATGGGGCCCTGGATGCAGTCAAGAAGGTGCAGAAGCTACAGCAGCCACATGGTGAGGTGCTTGCTGGTGTGGATGCGACAGCTGCATGGGCAAAGGCTTCACCTTAGAGTGGTGAGGCCGATTGGGAGACGTGGCACGAGAGGTTGTGTCACATCAACATTCCCATGCTGCAGAATTTGGTGAAGGATGGGAGCTTGAAAAGGTTGGAGGTGAAAGGGGCAGCAAATGAGATTAGGAGCTGCCCTACATGCCTTGAAATAAAGTTCACCAATTTTCCCTTCAACAGCGGCACGGGCCAGCTAAGGCTCCACTTGCGCTTGTGCACGCGGATATGGTGGGTCCTACGAGGGCCCCTTCTCTCTTGAGCAGCCGCTACTTCTTAACCATTGTGGATGACCACACGCGTGCGGTGTGGGTGTACCCTCTCAAGTCTAAGGGGGAGGTGGCAGCGGCTGTCCTAAAGGAGTGGATGCCGAGGGCTCAAAGGAAGAGCGGACACAAGGTGAAGGTGATCCGCACCGACAACGTCGGAGAATTCATTGGCGCAGTTTTTTAGGTGGTGCTGAAGAAGGGGATCCAGCATTAACTCACAGTGCCCTACAACCCTCAGAAGAACGGCGTGGCTGAGCGCTTCAACCGGACCCTGCAGGAAGGTGCTCGCCTTCTCCTTGGGCATGAAGGACTGCCGGATCCGTTTTGGGTGACTGCACTCCGACAGGTCGCCCTTGTGAAGAACAGGGTGCTGGCGACTGTGGGGGACAAGCAGAAGGTTTCCTACACCAAGTGGTATGGGATTGCACCAGCAGTCAACATGTTGAGAGCCTATGGCTGTTTGGTGGTGTTTCATGTGCCGAAGGAGATGAAGGGAAAGCTGGAAGCTTCTGGAAGATGGGGTGTGCACTCGGGAATTGCGAAGGACCACAAGGGCTGGCTGCTATGGGAATTGACCAGCCAGAAGTTTACTGTTTTGAGGGATGTGAAGTTCCTCGAGTCTTTGTACTTTAAGGAATGGAAGCAGCAGCAGCAACAGCAGCAGAAGCTTCCTACTACACCACTGATCATTGAGGCTGATGAGGTGCAACGGCATTCGAGGGAAGTGCAGGTCACTGTCTCAGAGAAAGAGATCTCTGGGGTGATTCGGGATGGGGAAGAACCTGAGGTGGAGGGAGCAGCAGCAGCAGCAGCAAGATGCTCCACAACGTGCCTAGCGTTCGCCTGACCGTCCTAGGAGGGAAGTGCGCCCTCCTAATAGGCTGACCTATCCAAGTTCTGGAAAGCCAAAGGTGGTACGCGCTGGGAGTGTGGCTGAGCAGTGCGATGAGGATGAGATAGCACACTGGTAATGGGCAGCTATCCCTGAGCCCAAGACGCTAGCTGAGGCGTTGAGCGGGCCTGATGCTTAAAAGTGAAATTAGAGTGTGAAGGAGGAGTATGACTCTTTGCTGGAGAATGAGACCTGGGAGCTGTGTGGGCTGCCTCCTAGGAAGAAGGCCATTTCTTCCAAGCTGATCTTCAGGCATAAGTACAGACCAGATGGGGCGCTGATCCGCTACAAGTTAAGGCTTGTGGCTAAGGGGATTCAGAAGACAAAGGGAAAGGACTTCGACGAGCTCTATGCTCCTATGGGGAAAGGGACTACGCTGAGGGTGATGTTCGGAACGGCTGCAAATCACGAATGGAGGATCAAGCGGATGGATATCACAACTGATTTCCTCAATGGGATGATTCTGGAGGAGCTGTACATGTTACAGCCTGAGGGGTTGGATGATGGGAGCGGCAGGGTGTGCAGGCTGAAGAAGGCCATCTATGGCTTGAAGCAGGCTCCTCGTGCATGGTACCACAACTTGAAGGAGACACTGCTAGCTAGGGGGTTCAAGAAAAGTGAACGTGACCATAGTCTGTTCGTGTTGCAAGAGAAGAACGAGTTCCTCATATTCTTGGTATATGTGGACGACATCCTTCTCTTCTCTGAGTTGTCTCCAATGATTGAGCGTCTGGAGGAGATGCTGGAGATGCAGTTCAACTGCTCAAAGATGGGAGGTGTGAAGTATTACCTTGGGATGCATGTGGAGAGAGACCTTGAAAAGGGAGTGGTGAGGTTGCACCAGAGGAAGCACTATGAGGGGCTGGTTGAGAAGTATAGGTTGCAAGATGGAGGAAAGCCAGCCACCCCACTACCTTCGGGTTTCACTGTGGAGCCTTGCGTTGATGAGGAGATGGTGAGTGAGAATGATAAGAATTTGTTTCATTCCATGGTTGGGGCACTCAACTATGCCGCTAACCACACACGGCCTAACATTGCGTTCACTACATCCAGGCTTGCTAGTGTGGTCTCCCGCCCCAGTCATGAGCAGCTGGAAGCGGCCAAGAGGTTGGTCCGCTATGGGAGAGCTACAGCACCAGTGGGTTTGGGGTACAGTGTTGTGCGACAGAGGCTGCAGAGGGGTGCAGCTGATTTGAGCAAGGGGGAGTTGCTCTTGACTTGCTACACTGACGCTAGCTTCAATTCTGTGAAGGAAGATGGAACCTGAATTGGAGGTTATGTGTGCCTGTTTGGAGGTGGTGTAGTGAGCTCACGCAGTAAGAAGCAGAATGAGGTGGGGCTGTCCTCATGCGAGACTGGGTACATGGCCTTGCATCATGGGGCCAAAGAGGTGGTGTGGCTAAGGCGTTTGTGCGGAGAGTCACTTCACAACGGTAGTGAGCTAGACTACGGGGGTTGGCATGAACTACTAGGAGTGATCGTAGCTTTGCTTGGTTCCTTAATGCTTGCAAATTCACGGGAGAAACCGGCAAGGGTTTCCACTAGCAAAGTTGGAATTATGGAATGATCGAACAAGCGATGGCAACAATGACTACATCAGGCACCTAGCAACCCTGCAGATAGCCTGGTTGACCGCCAGCATAGCTTTGTCGACCGCCTTTCAGCGTTGCGTAAAGGAGCCGCGCCAGCACTGTAGAAGGGCGACCTGCCAACACAGCAAGTCGATGGCGTGCCAACGCTGCAACAAAGCAGCTGTCTAGCATTGTTCCGTAGAACACAGCAGTGCGTACGCTCGTAGGTGCGCACAGACGATTGGCTCGACTTGCCTCGTTGGGCATTCGTCGGCTGATGTCTGCGCCTAACAAGCCACATGGAATTCAAAATACCAGCCCGAATTTGCTTGCGCCATTGCGACCTTGATGACGTTCGCGTGCCTCTGCAGAAGTTGTCGAGCAAGTTACCCGGTCGACCACTAGGTTCTTCCGGT